GTTGTTTGTTGATTTGTTGATGATAGCCATTCTGACAGGTGTGAGATGGTACCTGATTGTCATTTTGATTTGCATCTCTTGGATGATTAGTGACTTTGAGCATGTTTACATATGTCTCTTGGCCTTTTCTATGTTCACTTTCAAGAAGTGTCTATTTAGATCCTTTGCCCATTTTTTTATTGCATTGTTTATTATTAAGTTGTATGAGTTCCCTATACATTTTGGTGATTAAACCCTCTCAGGCCTTTTTCATCCTTATAATCTTCATGTTGCCCAATATGAGCAAAATGAAAAATTCATAATTGAAGTATTAGGACCTCATAAGGTTGAAGTTTTTTCTCCCTGCTTTCAAACAAAAGTATTTCTGAATGTAGGAAATTGTAAAAGATAACCTTTGCCTGCCCTTTTGAGATGTATAATAATAATAATATGAAATATAAATATTGATCATTAGGAACTTATGCTTTCCATACAATCTATAAATCTAAATATTGAACAAAATGAGCCATCCTATATATTTGAATCCTGATTCTCCTCTGGCTTATATTTTCTTTGAAAATCAGAGTAAGAATTACTTAAAAAGAAAATTCGTGGTTTGCCTTTTTAGTCCTCTTTCCCCCATAAGGCTTTTAAGAATTAAAATTTATTTAAATGCCAACCATTTGACTAGAATTGCAAGAGGTCTGTTGTAGTTACCATTACTTCACTTAATGTAAGGAACCATGAATGGCATGATGTCAGTATTTTATGTATCAATAAAAATTTTTAAATGCTGCCCATAATAGTTGTAAAACAACTATTATGAAGTAAAAATTGAATTCCAATGTCAGAGATGTTAAAATGAGAGAATATAAGCATTTTAGAATAATTGAAATACTGTGTTCTTTCTAATCCTTAAAACACATCTGCGAAGTATGTATACTGATATCAGTTTACTTAATTGAAATGATATCTTTGTAAAGTGGTAGTGATAGTAATAATGATACTAATATTATCACAATTATTAAGCTGTTGTATGTGCAAGGTACTGTAGTAAACACTTTGCATAGATTCTCATTAAAACAAACAATGGTGTCCTGTGAGATACCTATTATTTTTATCCCCATTTTGTTGATGAGGAAATTGAGGCCCAGAAAGGCCAAGTGACAGCTAATAAGTGACAGTTAAAATAGGATCAGAACTTAGTTGAGCTGAATTCCCAGGTCATCCTCTCTGTATTCAAATAGGCTTCTCCTTCACTAATGGGGTGAGTGATAAGAACTAATAAATATTGTACTATCTCCAGAAGAAAATTAAATATTTGCTTTGAAGGCATAGGGAGCAATGTTTACAATTACATGGATATTGTATGCTTTCATCTGGTGCCCTCTAATTCTCTAAGCAGTCCTCTCATTTTCATAGGACTGCTCTGCATGTGGCCTGTGGCAAGGGCCGTCCGAGAGTGGTGAGACTGCTAACACATAGACATTGCCTATTGAACCTCTGTGACATTGACAACAAAACAGCTCTCATTCACGTATGTATTAGCCAACTATGTGAACTTGAGAGGGGTTTGATTGAATTACTTAGAATAAAAATGAGTTTTTCTCATTTAACTAGAAGACATTGGTGAAATTTGTGGAATGTTTACTTTGAATTCCCAGAATTTATAATCTATTTCTTGGCATAATACTGACAGGCCATACAATATGAGCAAGAGGAATGTGCAACCATTCTTCTAGACCGTGGCGCCAATCCAAATGTAATGGACATCCATGGCAACACTCCTCTTAACTATGCTGTCCTTGGTCATAATACAGCTATAGTGGAAAAGCTACTTTCCTGTATGGCAAATATGGAAGCAAGAAATAAAGTATACATCAAGTAACTTTATTTACAAAATATTTGAAATACATGTTTTTACTTTAGTTTCAAGCGTTTTTTTAGAAAATATATTTTATTGATTTTTTACAGAGAGGAAGGGAGAGAGATAGTCAGAAACATCGATGAGAGAGAAACATCGATCAGCTGCCTCCTGCACATCTCCTACTGGGGATGTGCCCGCAACCCAGGTACATGCCCTTGACCGGAATCGAACCTGGGACCTTTCAGTCTGCAGGCCGACACTCTATCCACTGAGCCAAACCGGTTTCGGCTAGTTTCAAGCCTTTTAAAAAATTGTATGTTCTATTAATTTTAAAGAGAAAGGAAAGGAGAGGGAGAGAGAGATAGAAACATCAATGATGAGAAAGAATTATCCATTGGCAGCCTCCTGCACATCCCCGTCTGGGGATTCAGCCCCCAAACTGAACATGTGCCCTGACCTCCTGGTTCAAGGGTCAACACTCAACCACTGAGCAACACCAGCCGGGCATAAGCATTTCCTTCCTTCCTTCCTTCCTTCCTTCCTTCCTTCCTTCCTTCCTTCCTTCCTTCCTTCCTTCCTTCCTTCCTTCCTTCCTTTCTCTC